CAAAAGCGCTCCCGTGTTCCCCGACGACGGCAGGCACGCTGTATCAGAATGAGATTCACCAGGCGGTGATCTTCTCAAGGCTCGTGGATGTGGCGAAAGATCCTTAAGTTGAGAGATACCGCCAAGGAATATCACAAGATGGAAATCAAAAGTGGTAAGAAAACTTCTTTTTGGTAGGATCAATGGTCCTTCATGGGAAGACTGGCTGATATACTCGGTGCTAGAGGGTGCATCAATCTTGGGATTACTAAAGTGGTATGATGATGGAAGAGGTGTTATTAAACAGCCGAAGGAGAAGGCACCGTGTAGAGCTGCTGAACAGAATCGAAGCTGAAATAGAAGAAGTTAAAACCAAAATGAAGCTTGGTGTTGAGACGATGTTAATCTTTGGAAGTGTCGGACAGGTTTTAAAAGGAATTTCTCAACATGTGAGACCAGGAAACTCATTAGAGTGGAAAGGCCAAGGCGCGATTGGGCAAAAGGGGTGTGGTATTCCCAAGCCACACCAAAGTTCGCCTTTATTACCTGGTTGGGAATGCATGATAGGCTTTCTACGGGAGATCGAATGTTAACTTGGAACCAACGGATTGACCCCTCTTGTTCCTTCTGTCAAGAGCCAATAGAGACGAGGAACCATCTCTTCTTCAAATGTTGCTACTCTAGTCAAATCTGGGACAAGATTTCAAAAGGGTTTATGAGAAATAACTACACCTTACGTTGGGACAGACTCATAAATCTCATCTCCTCCTCCACTCTTGAACCACGTCCTCGGCTCCTTTGAAGGTATGGGCTTCAATGCACAATCCACACAATTTGGAGAGAGCGAAATAACCGCAGGCATGGAGAACGTCCTCGATCAGCCCTTCACCTCGAGAAAATCATTGAAAAGACCATCCGCAATAGGATATATCTTATACGAAACCTGGGAAATAGAAAATATGAAGACCTTCTCATCTACTGGTTTTCTACTCGGTTATAAGTCTGTAGCATTAGAATCTAATTTTTCTCTTCTCAAAAACGAAGCACTTGATGTAACAACGGTTTTTTTGATGAATAAATTTTACATTCATTCAAAAAAAGAAAAAAGATATAAACTAAATTTTTGTCGAAAACAAGTTTTCAAAATCTGGAACAATCTGCTCTTTGGTGGACACACACGGGATAGATGGAAATTAGATTTATGTTACACAGATGAATACAAATCCTCAACAAATACGAGTTGGCATGTGCTTGAAGCTCGTGGAGAAAGTGCCAACTCCTTGATCATTTGAAGGTTTGGAACATAATGTTCCTCTGTATCAGCCAAGATTGTTGCCGTCTTTAAGTGACGAGCGTTTTTCAAGATATAAACCGCAATATCTCTATCTTGTGGTCTCCCATAGTATCGTGACCACTTTAATGTTTGTAGACTCGACAACAAGCATTCAGGAACGAAATTCGGTTGATTCCAGGAAACCGTACCATTAAGCTCATCCGTTGCATGATCCTAAGACCAAGCAGAAGAATAAGATTAAAACCATACTGGGGATCAGACAAACAAGAAATAGTTTAAATCGAAGAAACTTACTTTCACTACAGAGATGTCTAATATTCGTAAGTTAGGAGAATCCTTGAGTAACTGGCCAAAGAGATTCGACGAATCCTCTCTACACACACATAGGTTCAGATGTTCAAGCTCCTTGAAAACTAAACCATCATCATACACAACCTGCCCACAATATCAAAATTATTAACAGAGAGTTCTATAAATGAGATTGACAACTTGCAGTTGATAAAATGGAATAACTACCTCTGAACATATTGTAAGATGCTTGACAGATGTGATTGATTCAAGAACACTCTCGAGATTAGGGTAACTAACATCGACATACGCTTCCCGCAGCTTAGGCATATTCTTAATCAAAGAGTTGTGATCCAAATCATTCCAATCCTCAAGTTTCAAATAGCTCAAAGAAGGAGTATCTATCTCATACTCATCTAACAACCAATCATCAGGTATAACGAGTGATAAACTCAGCAAAGACGGGACGTTAATAGTGAACTCTTTCACATTTTCATCGTCAACACAACGTACCGATAGATCTTCAAGAACAGGACAAATAGATAAAAGCTCTTGAAGCATTTCTTCATCTACGAATTTCACACTTTTAAGTTTCAAAGTTTTCAGAGAAGGGAGACAAACCATAGAGGGAATATCCATGAGAGTCACGTTTCTGAGTTTCAAGGTCACGAGCGATTTGCAGGTAAACAAGCTATTCGGGAATATGTTTTCATTCTCCGAATAATAATCAATTTTCAGCTCACGTACATGGCGAGAAACTGCGATTTCAATCCATCGTCTGATATCTTCAGGTTTAATATCTGGGCTATACAAATCAAGACGCAATCTTTCTATCACGGGAGCTCTATGTAACGGTAACTTCCTGTCAATAAAATCCCTAAGTTCAGGCTTTAGAGAAATGAACTCTAGTCTAGGCAACCACATCCAAAGAAACTCCCAACGCTTAGACAAAATGCTAGTGGATACAGCAACTTTTGTTGGAACAAAAGATAAAATCTTCACCACCACATCATCAGGCAATCCACTGATTCTGTCCATCTCTTACCAAATTCAAGTTACTGTTACAGTCCAAAATATACTTGAATCTTGTCTTCCCCTGAAAATGAAGAGCAAAGCACAAGAAAACAACACCATAAGACTCATAAGGATTCTTCTTAAGCCAAGCAAACGAATTATCAAGCACACAGAGGAACCCTAGAAAAAAAAAACTGAAAATTTCAAAGCTGGAATGAGATAAAACCCTAAAAACTACCAGTGAGTTCGATTCCGCTAAGAAAACAGAATCAAAAGAATGAAAGATAAATCAAAACCCTAGAAATTGGAACTACATAGAATTTGCTTACAGTGTGTTAGAGGAAGTGGGAGATCAGAAGATATCGGAATCGCAGAGAATCGTCTCCTCCATCAAAGTTTCAGAATAACAAAGCTTCAAGTTCATCGTCGTCACTCACACTCACACCGGTTCGTGTTGTGGGCCAAAATGGCTTAAACTCATAGTGAGCCTTGGGTTGGGCCAGAAACTCTTTTCTATATGGCGATGAATGGATGACGAATTGACGATGATTGAAGACAAAATAATTCATTTGTATTTTATTTTTTGTGATTTATAAATGTGATTGTTTTGATTTTTCCCCTTAAATTTACATATTTTTTTTATTAGATCAAATACTTTTTCAAATAATTTGATATTTTTGCAATTGTTTACAAGACGTGATGGAAATGAAAATATAAGCAAAATTATATGCTGGTTTTCTAATAAATCTTATTCAAAATCATATTTTTTCATATATTTAAATTACATTTTTTTTTCCATATAAGTTGATTGAAACAAAAATTAAAGATGATTTTACCTCCATCATAATTTTTCTTTTAAGTAAATCAGTTAAATTCAAATAAGAAAATGTAGTTAGAAGAGAATTTCAAAAAGAAGTTTGAGATATCTCTACAATAATTAATTGAGAAGTAGAAACGCACCATATTCAAAGTTAGGGTATTGGAGGCCTGTGGTTAAAAGTTGGAATGATTTGTCCTAAACACCCTTAATGAATTGTTCTTCTCGAAATTTCTTCTTCTTCGTAATTAGGGGTATATAAGTCTAATCGTGTGTTGATCTCTATACTAATGTCCTAAACACCCTCGATACGAAATTTTTTGTTCTTAATTATTAGGGGTATATAAGTCTAATCGTGTTTTGAGATGATTAGTCTTAATCACCCTTAATGAATACACTATCAAATCCAGTTTTCTATTTTTTGGTGAGGGTAAAACAATAAAATCGTGTGAATTTTATTAAAATATAGAATATTTCGTTTTTTAATATTAAAATATAGAATATTTCGTTTTTAAATATTAAAATATAGAATATTTCGTTTTTTAATTTTTATAAAAATTTAAGATAGATACCAAAATATATTACGAATATTTTTATCAAGAAATTTTCCAATTTTAAAAAATAAATTTTTAGAGATAATTATGACGGTGTGCCCTAGATATTAAACTATAAATATAGAGCCGCAACCACACCATTAGAACTCAGATTCGTTAGCCTAAACATATCGTTTTGATATTATAGCTTTTTTTTTTGTTGCTTTGGTTCTTTTATGGATCGATTTATTTTGCGTTATTATTTTTTACCTTTTCTTGAGGTTATATTTGTATTGTTATTACCTTGGTCTATGAATTATCAAGATTGTTATTGTTTTGCTGATTTGTATCGTGTGAATTATGTTTTAGGTAACCGCTCATGGGAGTTTCTATCAAGAGATTGAATGAACGAGTTGATGAAGACATGCCTCTTCATTAAATTCATTAACAAACTTTTTACATCAATCGTGAGTCCTCTTTAATTTTAGTTAGCGCTTCTCTTATGTCTCTTTGTAAATTACTTACAATTTTATAATTTGTGTTGGTTCAATTATTGATAGTTGTCTCTCATCGGATCTGATGTAAAATAATTTTTTACCATGCACTACATAACGAAATAATTTTTTTTTTGTCAATGTTACTCATAATTTTTGTGTTTTTGAAGGCGGAGCATTGCGCTGATGCGAAAGTGATTTACAAGTTTTTGGAGGTCAATGAGATTGATAAGACACATGCTGTCTACTACATAGCTTATGCTTTGCACATGGGAGTTTAAGAATAAGGTGAAAACTGCTAAGGAGATCTTCAATCTCAGAATCTCTAGGTAATATTTATTACGAATGAATAGACATGTAATCATATATACTTTCATGTTTCTGCTCCTTACATTATAGACCCTTATAAATTTACTGATTTTCTTTGCTTCCATCTACACAGCTTACCAGAGAGACTCATAATTTTCTCAGATTTTGTTTTGCTTCTTCTTTCTCTAATTAGCATATTTCTCTCGATCGATATTTTATGACGGAAGATGATTTGAAGCAATAATCTTCCAATTCTCTTGATTTCTAGGGTTTTTAGATTTCACTATTATAAGTTTTTTCTTTGTTTCGCATATTTCTCTCGATTGTAATCATTCAAGATTGAGGAAGATTTGTAGCGATTATTACTGTAAGAATTCTTCAAATCCTCTTGATTTCTAGGATTTCTAAATTTCACTATTATAATGTTTTCGTTTTTTCTTTTGGTTTTTTTTTTTTTCGTTTTGAAGAGGCTTTTGATATTTGCACAACCGAAAAATTCGTGTTTCAAAGTTTTTTTTCTTCTGTGAATTACAAGTTCTTTCTTCTTCTTTTTTTTTTGTTTTAATTGATTTTGTTTTTGGTTCGTGTTTTTTTTTTTTTTTCTGTAGCGCTTTGCATAATTTGATAAGCATGAAATTGTTGCGATCAG